GCCTTTCTCTGCGCCGCTTAGCACGCCGAGACCAGGCTGTTCTCTGAGCCGCTTAGCACGCCGAGACCAGGCCGTTCTCTGCGCCGCTTAGCACGCCGAGACCAGGCCTTTCTCTGCGCCGCTTAGCACGCCGAGACCAGGCCTTTCTCTGCGCCGCTTAGCACGCCGAGACCAGGCCTTTCTCTGAGCCGCTTAGCACGCCGAGACCAGGCCTTTCTCTGCGCCGCTTAGCACGCCGAGACCAGGCCGTTCTCTGAGCCGCTTAGCACGCCGAGACCAGGCCTTTCTCTGAGCCGCTTAGCACGCCGAGACCAGGCCTTTCTCTGCGCCGCTTAGCACGCCGAGACCAGGCCTTTCTCTGAGCCGCTTAGCACGCCGAGACCAGGCCTTTCTCTGCGCCGCTTAGCACGCCGAGACCAGGCCTTTCTCTGCGCCGCTTAGCACGCCGAGACCAGGCCGTTCTCTGAGCCGCTTAGCACGCCGAGACCAGGCCTTTCTCTGAGCCGCTTAGCACGCCGAGACCAGGCCTTTCTCTGCGCCGCTTAGCACGCCGAGACCAGGCCTTTCTCTGAGCCGCTTAGCACGCCGAGACCAGGCCTTTCTCTGCGCCGCTTAGCACGCCGAGACCAGGCCTTTCTCTGCGCCGCTTAGCACGCCGAGACCAGGCCTTTTTCTGCGCCGCTTAGCACGCCGAGACCAGGCCGTTCTCTGAGCTGCTTAGCACGCTGAGACCAGGCCTTTCTCTGAGCCGCTTAGCACGCCGAGACCAGGCCTTTCTCTGCGCCGCTTAGCACGCCGAGACCAGGCCTTTCTCTGCGCCGCTTAGCACGCCGAGACCAGGCCTTTCTCTGCGCCGCTTAGCACGCCGAGACCAGGCCTTTCTCTGCGCCGCTTAGCACGCCGAGACCAGGCCGTTCTCTGAGCCGCTTAGCACGCCGAGACCAGGCCTTTCTCTGAGCCGCTTAGCACGCCGAGACCAGGCCTTTCTCTGAGCCGCTTAGCACGCCGAGACCAGGCCTTTCTCTGCGCCGCTTAGCACGCCGAGACCAGGCCTTTCTCTGAGCCGCTTAGCACGCCGAGACCAGGCCTTTCTCTGCGCCGCTTAGCACGCCGAGACCAGGCCTTTCTCTGCGCCGCTTAGCACGCCGAGACCAGGCCTTTTTCTGCGCCGCTTAGCACGCCGAGACCAGGCCGTTCTCTGAGCCGCTTAGCACGCCGAGACCAGGCCTTTCTCTGAGCCGCTTAGCACGCCGAGACCAGGCCTTTCTCTGCGCCGCTTAGCACGCCGAGACCAGGCCGTTCTCTGAGCTGCTTAGCACGCCGAGACCAGGCCTTTCTCTGAGCCGCTTAGCACGCCGAGACCAGGCCTTTCTCTGAGCCGCTTAGCACGCCGAGACCAGGCCTTTCTCTGCGCCGCTTAGCACGCCGAGACCAGGCCTTTCTCTGAGCCGCTTAGCACGCCGAGACCAGGCCTTTCTCTGCGCCGCTTAGCACGCCGAGACCAGGCCGTTCTCTGAGCTGCTTAGCACGCCGAGACCAGGCCTTTCTCTGAGCCGCTTAGCACGCCGAGACCAGGCCTTTCTCTGAGCCGCTTAGCACGCCGAGACCAGGCCTTTCTCTGCGCCGCTTAGCACGCCGAGACCAGGCCTTTCTCTGAGCCGCTTAGCACGCCGAGACCAGGCCTTTCTCTGCGCCGCTTAGCACGCCGAGACCAGGCCTTTCTCTGCGCCGCTTAGCACGCCGAGACCAGGCCTTTCTCTGCGCCGCTTAGCACGCCGAGACCAGGCCTTTCTCTGCGCCGCTTAGCACGCCGAGACCAGGCCTTTTTCTGCGCCGCTTAGCACGCCGAGACCAGGCCGTTCTCTGAGCTGCTTAGCACGCCGAGACCAGGCCTTTCTCTGCGCCGCTTAGCACGCCGAGACCAGGCCTTTCTCTGCGCCGCTTAGCACGCCGAGACCAGGCCTTTCTCTGCGCCGCTTAGCACGCCGAGACCAGGCCTTTCTCTGAGCCGCTTAGCACGCCGAGACCAGGCCTTTCTCTGAGCCGCTTAGCACGCCGAGACCAGGCCTTTCTCTGCGCCGCTTAGCACGCCGAGACCAGGCCTTTCTCTGCGCCGCTTAGCACGCCGAGACCAGGCCTTTCTCTGCGCCGCTTAGCACGCCGAGACCAGGCCGTTCTCTGAGCCGCTTAGCACGCCGAGAGACGAGACACACCCTTTCACAAAGAAACACACAACAGAGACAAAAGGTTTCTTTGGAAAATTATTTAAAGGTGCACTTTGTCTCTGGTTGGAAGGACTGTCACCTGCTTCTGTCACGCTCAGGTCTCACATAATGCTTATAGATATAGGAAGAATGAGCACATTAGTCCTGACTTGAACCAGGAAGTACGACCACATTAGTCCTGACTTGAACCAGGAAGTACAACCACATTAGTCATGACTAGAACCAGGAAGTACGACCAAATTAGTCCAGGCTAGAACCAGGAAGTACGACCACATTAGTCCTGACTTGAACCAGGAAGTACGACCACATTAGTCCTGACTTGAACCAGGAAGTACGACCACATTAGTCCTGACTTGAACCAGGAAGTACGACCACATTAGTCCTGACTAGAACCAGGAAGTACGACCACATTAGTCCTGACTTGAACCAGGAAGTACGACCACATTAGTCATGACTTGAACCAGGAAGTACGACCACATTAGTCCTGACTAGAACCAGGAAGTACGACCACATTAGTCCTGACTAGAACCAGGAAGTACGACCACATTAGTCCTGACTAGAACCAGGAAGTACGACCACATTAGTCCAGTCCTCAGGTCTCTGCACTGGCTTCCTGTGGCTCAGAGAATAGACTTTAAAACAGCTCTGCTTGTTACAAGTCTCTCCATGGCCTCGCACCAAAATATATTAGTGACATGTTAGTCCCATATGAACCAGCCCGGACTCTGAGGAGCACAGGGACTGGACTCCTGCTGGGACTCTGAGGAGCACAGGGACTGGACTCCTGCTGGGACTCTGAGGAGCACAGGGACTAGACTCCTGCTGGGACTCTGAGGAGCACAGGGACTGGACTCCTGCTGGGACTCTGAGGAGCACAGGGACTGGCCTCCTGCTGGGACTCTGAGGAGCACAGGGACTGGCCTCCTGCTGGGACTCTGAGGAGCACAGGGACTGGCCTCCTGCTGGGACTCTGAGGAGCACAGGGACTAGACTCCTGCTGGGACTCTGAGGAGCACAGGGACTGGACTCTTGCTGGGACTGAGGAGCACAGGGACTGGACTCCTGCTGGGACTCTGAGGAGCACAGGGACTGGACTCCTGCTGGGACTCTGAGGAGCACAGGGACTGGACTCCTGCTGGGACTCTGAGGAGCACAGGGACTGGACTCCTGCTGGGACTCTGAGGAGCACAGGGACTGGACTCCTGCTGGTCCCAGAGTCAGGACTAAACATGGGGAGGCAGTGTTTCAGATTGATGCAGCTAAAATCTGGAACAATCTTCCTGAACTTTAATAATGACATATTATTTAATCAAAGCATTTTCTGCTGTGACACAGCGCACTTTTTAACAGATTCATGTTAAAATGTAAATAAAAAAAGGAAAAAATAGTGGCTCCGCTTTTATCTCTTCTTGTTTTATTTCCAAATACTCCCATGTTTTGTTTTTGTCTCACAATCCACAGGTGAGATGAGAGCGCAGTATCACACTCTGGCCACACGGAGGCAGAGCTGGCTTGTTCGATCCAGACTAAAGACCCAGCTGTGTTTATGAAAGTGATACTCTTCTTGTCAAATCCTGCCAAGAATGTTTCTGATAACAGTCCATTAATACCAGACATATCCGTGTTCGTGACTCCGCCTCCTGCTTTCGTTTAAAAACAGCTTAAGTTATGTTTGTGGAAATAAAAAGAAGTCCAACCGTACATTTAATGAGAAATATATCATGTCTTTGTTATTTCTGTCTTACTGACTGTGCAGCACTTTGTAAAGACTGATTTTAAAAAGTGCTGTAAAATAAAGATCTATCATTATTATTATAATTATTAATAATAACTTTGGCGTTTGAGGTCGTTTACACTTTAGGTTCATTTAGTCCATTTTGTGTTTGAACGACTGTGTTATGTGTCAGAGTTCCTAATTAATTCTGTCTGAGTCATTTTGATGCTTGTTGCATTGTACTTGTTAATAAATTGAGTAACAACAGTTTGAAGTGATTCTTAATGAAATCTTTGTCACTGAATAATCTCTGATGAAGAATTGACTCATGTTTTTAAACCTGCACAAACTCGTCTTTGACTGAATGTGGTCATATTTTTCACTGACATCAGTGAATCGTGCTGATACTTGAGACTCTGGAGGGTTCTGATTAAACACAGAGAAGTGAAGTGATGTCACATGTCAGTTTTAACGTCTGTGGGAGAAAAGACAGAAACACTGTCAAATACAATCTCATGTTAAAGTTCACCTCGTGTTCGTAAAAAGGACTTTCAATCTAAAACTGAGAAAGAAAATAATATTCCTGCTTTTACAGCTGAAACAAGAGTTTCTGTGGATGTTTAAAATGTGAAATGTTTCAGCAAATACACATTTAACTCATTTGCATTTGGTGTCCGCAAACTGGTCATGATTTTACATTTTAAAAAGATACATATAAATATAACTTTGTGCCCACATCGCCCAGTGAAATATAATATACTGTATAGTAACTGCTCTGTAAACACGAACGCTTAAAACGAGTGGTTTTTAAGTTAAACTAAACTGATAGATTTGAACTATTTTTACCTTTTTACAGATGTCAGATGGACAAATCTAAACACTGACACAGTTGAAACACAAAGCGGTGACGTTACCCAGAATGCTTTGCAGAGCATCACAAACTATCGGATGTGTCCAAGACGGACCAGACGGACCGGTCCTGGTACCGCCAGGAGTAAAACAGGGGACAGTGTCTGCAAACCTGCTCTCACTTTTTATCAATGACTTGACAACAACAGAACATGGGTCTGGACCCGGACACAGAACATGGGTCTGGACCCGGACACAGAACATGGGTCTGGACCCGGACACAGAACATGGGTCTGGACTCGGACACAGAACATGGGTCTGGACTCGGACACAGAACATGGGTCTGGACCCGGACACAGAACATGGGTCTGGACTCGGACACAGAACATGGGTCTGGACTCGGACACAGAACATGGGTCTGGACTCGGACACAGAACATGGGTATCCGTGTGGACTCTGACACAGAACATGGGTATCCGTGTGGACTCTGACACAGAACACGGGTATCCGTGTGGACTCTGACATTATCCTGATGCTGAGGATGTTGCACTCGAGGCTGAAACTAAAACTCAGGTTCATTTCAGGAGGAAGACAGTTCCATGAATCAGAAATCCTCGGGGACATAGGTTGGAGTTTGTCCCTGACCCTGAGTGTAAATATCTGGGTTTCACATTTGATAAGTTTATGATTTTTATTGTGGAGTCAAAGTTCTTTCTGACTCGTGCTTTAGGTTCTGTCATAAACCAATGTAAAGTATGTAAAGATCTTGGTTCTAGAACATTCTCTGAGTTGGATGCCGCCTGTGTTTCTGCTGCTCTAAACTCTGAACTTTATGAACTTCAAACTTGGCGGCTGATTGTTTAAATGTTAAATTCTTCAAATGGTTGTTTATAGATCGATAATTTTATATAATAGTGTCACGTATACCCGGATGCCCCGCCCACATAGGCTTAAAGATGCAGTATTTAAGTTCATAAACTAAATTATTAGAACTAGAATCTTAACTTTGAGTTTATAATAAGTTAACTTTTACATTTTGAATTCATGTAACTCAAAATGAATAATTTAAGTCATCTTTATTTATACAGCACATTTTTACAGACCGAGGTCACCCTCAGAGCTTTACAAAGTTCACACTGGTCCATCAAAGCCTCCGACCAAACACCCTCCATTCAGACCTACTGTGCATGTTTTTAGTGGTAGGGGAAACCGGAGCACCTGGAGGAAACCTACGCAGACACAGAACATGTAAACTCCACTCAGAAAGGCCCTGTTACGACCGGGATTTGAACCCAGGACATTTCATTCTGAGAAGTAAGAGAGCTAACCACTCAGCCAGTGTGTGTGAGCACATTGACCCTTGCCTAGTATTAGACAGAGATAGTTTAAAAAGGCCTACTTTGGCCTGGCCTTGTTGATTACAGTCAGTAACAAGTAAAAATACATTAGATTATTCATTTGGCATTAGGTCGACTTCATATTCACTCTCAAAAATAACTCTTAGATGTTTTTCTAAAGGTCTGTGTCAGTGTTTCGAAGCGCTTCATTGGCTCAGAGAGTTTGCAGCGGCATGGCATGGCTCTCTTGTCATGTGAGAACAGACATTATAAACCACATTTAAAACGTGAATCAGCTGCTGCTATTCAGAAGACGTCTGTAAAAATTATGTAAAAATAAGTTTAGTTTAGTTAAAAGCCAAAACATGGGTTGCTCGGGTTTACAGAGCAGATAGAAGGACTTCAGGACTCTGCACATACTTTGCTGATTGTTTTTACTTCAGAAGCCGTCTTTAAAAGCACTTGAAACGACGACACTTGGAGCAGCTGCAGGCGAGCTCTGTGGTTGAACCGTCCCAGCCTGGCGTGACCTCTGAACCCTGAGAAAGTGCTCTGTTCCAGGAGCTAAAGTGTCACCTCGGCTCCGCTCACTAACAGACGTGCACAGACCCGTGTTGTTGCTAAATTCAAACAAAGCTTCTTTTAATACGTGGGATTTCACTGTGGGATGTTTGCTGTTGCTCTGATGCACCATGGCAACTTCTCAAAGGTCTCCAGTCGCTACTTTTTACTCAAACTCTGAGATAGAAGTCTGAAAACTGGGAGAACATATCTTTGCAAGCCCAGGGGCTAGAAACACAAGATAAAATGTGGCAAGGCAACCTATTTGTGCACTTTTAAAATCCTGCACTGTACTCTCCCAGTTAAAAACATAAATAAAAGTGAAATCATAAAAGTAAAATAACTTCTGAAGTTTGTGTTTTACGACTCTGTCACGCTACACACACAAAACATGTTGACGGTTGAGCTTCGTTACAACTTGATGATCCGGAAACATTTTTGTCTCTTTAAGCAAAGTAGAAAAATATACCTATTATTCAGAACAGAAAACGGCATCTTTTTAAGTTTGAACACACTTGAAAATTGCTAAAAAAGTATCTGCAAACAGACGCTACATGTTTATGTATATAGCTCATTTTGACAGACTAAGGTCACCCAAAAGATTTGCAATGTTTCAGATATAGTTTAATTTTCTGCGCACAAACACACTGGTCCATCAAAGCCTCCGACCAAACACCCCCCACTCACTCATTACACTCAGACCTATTGTTCATGTTTTTAGTAGTAGGGGAAACTGGAGCACCTGGAGGAAACCTACGCAGACACGGGGAGAATACGTAAACTCCACTCAGAAAGGCTCCGTTCCGACCGGGATTTGAACCCAGGGTGTAAGATTAGTCCAGCCCACACTGGGAGGGCCCCAACAGAGCTTAATGTGGTCTTCAGCAGTTCACCTGTCGCCGCAGTCTACCTGGCATTGGATTAGAGATGTTGAATTCTATGGGTGTCAAAGTCGAGGCCCGGGAGCCAGATCCGGCCCACGGATTAATGATCTTGGCCACGGGACATTTAATAAGAATTCGAACCGACCGCAGAGAGATGTAAGTAAATATTGGATTATTAATTTTAATGTGTTTTAACCTTTTAATGTTCAATCCTTGAAGAAAGCAATGTTTTTTTTTTCTAAGATGTAGGACCCTAATAACACTTCTTTTCACCCCTAGTTTTTTAAAGTATAGTTATTTACCAAATGGTTGAAGTGCAGTTTGCTGTAAAAGTTCCATAAACCCAGATGTAGATTTTAGTTCCAAGCTTTAGGTAGATTTAGTGACTCAATAAATGATCAACCAAATGGTTCAGGAAACCATGGTTGAAGAAAGAGTTAATAAACATAGAACCAGTCCGGGCCTCGGCTTGAAGCTAATTTGTTTTTTGGCCTCTGATGTATTTGACTTTGACTTCCTTGTTGCATTCCTTTGTAAACTATAAAAACTCCAGTGCACACGACATATGGCTCAAAGCAAAAGGTCCTTAATGTGTGGAAATACTTTCTGTCATGGTTCAGGTCATTTCATGTTTTATTTTGAAAAGTGTTAACCCCTGATGGTGCTTTCAGCCCGGATCATGCTGCGTCAGGTTTCAATGCAGAGTCTATGGTGGCGCGCGTTCGCCCGTCACAACGCACGGACCTCTCGGCACGAACGGACTGTTCAGTAGAGACGCACGGACTTGGCGGGAAAGTGAAAAGGGAGGAGCAGGAGCGAAAAACGCCCACAGGAGATGGATTCTGTGCATCCTTTCCTTGGGACGTTCGTGCGACAACCAATCAGAGAGCAGCAAAGTGGTCACGGGGACATTAGCGGACTGAGCGAGCAGACTGAAAATACTGTAAACAGCCAAAACAGGACCCACACCAGACTTCACCAGAACTCAAACCAGGGTTGACAATGGGGGACTCTGTGAAAATATGTGTTGTCATGCTCCCGTGACCTTATGCAACTGCTTCGAGTGTGTTCATACTACTGTTATATAAAGTCACCGTGAACACATACTGCTGTTATATAAAGTCACCTCCGTGAACACATACTACTGTTATATAAAGTCACCTCCGTGAACACATACTGCTGTTATATAAAGTCACCTCCGTGAACACATACTGCTGTTATATAAAGTCACCTCCGTGAACACATACTGCTGTTATATAAAGTCACCTCCGTGAACACATACTGCTGTTATATAAAGTCACCTCCGTGAACACATACTGCTGTTATATAAAGTCACCTCCGTGAACACATACTGCTGTTATATAAAGTCACCGCCGTGAACACATACTGCTGTTATATAAAGTCACCTCCGTGAACACATACTGCTGTTATATAAAGTCACCTCCGTGAACACATACTGCTGTTATATAAAGTCACCTCCGTGAACACATACTGCTGTTATATAAAGTCACCTCCGTGAACACATACTGCTGTTATATAAAGTCACCTCCGTGAACACATACTGCTGTTATATAAAGTCACCTCCGTGAACACATACTGCTGTTATATAAAGTCACCTCCGTGAACACATACTGCTGTTATATAAAGTCACCTCCGTGAACACATACTGCTGTTATATAAAGTCACCTCCGTGAACACATACTGCTGTTATATAAAGTCACCTCCGTGAACACATACTGCTGTTATATAAAGTCACCTCCGTGAACACATACTGCTGTTATATAAAGTCACCTCCGTGAACACATACTGCTGTTATATAAAGTCACCTCCGTGAACACATACTGCTGTTATATAAAGTCACCTCCGTGAACACACACTGCTGTTATATAAAGTCACCGTGAACACATACTGCTGTTATATAAAGTCACCTCCGTGAACACATACTGCTGTTATATAAAGTCACCGTGAACACATACTGCTGTTATATAAAGTCACCGTGAACACATACTGCTGTTATATAAAGTCACCTCCGTGAACACATACTGCTGTTATATAAAGTCACCTCCGTGAACACATACTGCTGTTATATAAAGTCACCTCCGTGAACACATACTGCTGTTATATAAAGTCACCTCCGTGAACACATACTGCTGTTATATAAAGTCACCTCCGTGAACACACACTGCTGTTATATAAAGTCACCGTGAACACATACTACTGTTATATAAAGTCACCTCCGTGAACACATACTGCTGTTATATAAAGTCACCGTGAACACATACTGCTGTTATATAAAGTCACCGTGAACACATACTGCTGTTATATAAAGTCACCTCCGTGAACACATACTGCTGTTATATAAAGTCACCGTGAACACATACTGCTGTTATATAAAGTCACCTCCGTGAACACACACTGCTGTTATATAAAGTCACCGTGAACACATACTGCTGTTATATAAAGTCACCTCCGTGAACACATACTGCTGTTATATAAAGTCACCGTGAACACATACTGCTGTTATATAAAGTCACCGTGAACACATACTGCTGTTATATAAAGTCCATAGGGGGAGACCAATGCCCATAAATGTAGTAGAATGTAGAGTGTCCTGGATCACCACAGTCCTTCTAAAACCCAGTGGGAGAAAAGGGAGACACCTCGGGGAGATCCACAGAGAAAGAGGGATCCAGGACTCAGACTGTAGAACGAGGACAGGTGCAGGACTGAAGCTGCTCCATTATAATACATTCAAATCTAATATATATTATGTAAACAACAACTCAGCCACACAGGTGCTGGTTCTGGTTCTGGTTCTGGAGCTGCAGCCTCAGTCTCTCAGGGGGGGGGGGGGTGAGTCACTGTGGTGGGAAAAGGGCGGTCTCCAGCTGCAGACCACATCAAAGCACAACAAACCCTTTTTCATGGGTTAAATGTAAAGTTATAATTGTCTGTAGACCTGCGCAAGATCTCATTTCTGTCAAATATTCTCCTCAAATCATTTTTGTCAATCCCCTTGAGTCCCTGTGTATGACCTGTTCATGACCTGTGTATGACCTGTGTATGACCTGTGTATGACCTGTGTATGACCTGTGTATGACCTGTGTATGACCTGTGTTTGACCTGGGTATGACCTGTGCTGAACAAATGAAGCTAAAGCGGAAATGTATCTAAAGACAAAATAACTGAGCTCTTTGCTGTCTGTGCAATCTGTCAATCACACTCACTCCCATGGCAACATGTGTGGCCTCATATCACACAGGAAGCTTCATTCATGCAGCAACCCTCCTCCTCCCCATCACCGCCTCGTCAGCCGGACCAGGTCTTTCACCCTTCTCCTAGCTACCACCACCAGAGTCTCCTCTCCTCACTCCCACAGACCTCATCACTCTCTCAGACCTCCTCACTCCCTCAGACCTCCTCACTCTCTCAGACCTCCTCACTCCCTCAGACCTCCTCACTCTCTCAGACCTCCTCACTCCCTCAGACCTCCTCACTCTCTCAGACCTCCTCACTCCCTCAGACCTCCTCACTCTCTCAGACCTCCTCACTCTCTCAGACCTCCTCACTCTCTCAGACCTCCTCACTCTCTCAGACCTCCTCACTCTCTCAGACCTCCTCACTCCCTCAGACCTCCTCACTCCCTCAGACCTCCTCACTCTCTCAGACCTCCTCACTCTCTCAGACCTCCTCACTCCCTCAGACCTCCTCACTCCCTCAGACCTCCTCACTCTCTCAGACCTCCTCACTCTCTCAGACCTCCTCACTCCCACAGACCTCCTCACTCCCTCAGACCTCCTCACTCTCTCAGACCTCCTCACTCTCTCAGACCTCCTCACTCCCTCAGACCTCCTCACTCTCTCAGACCTCCTCACTCTCTCAGACCTCCTCACTCCCTCAGACCTCCTCACTCTCTCAGACCTCCTCACTCCTCAGACCTCCTCACTCCCTCAGACCTCCTCACTCTCTCAGACCTCCTCACTCTCTCAGACCTCCTCACTCTCTCAGACCTCCTCACTCTCTCAGACCTCCTCACTCCCTCAGACCTCCTCACTCTCTCAGACCTCCTCACTCTCTCAGACCTCCTCACTCTCTCAGACCTCCTCACTCCCTCAGACCTCCTCACTCTCTCAGACCTCCTCACTCTCTCAGACCTCCTCACTCTCTCAGACCTCCTCACTCCCTCAGACCTCCTCACTCTCTCAGACCTCCTCACTCCCTCAGACCTCCTCACTCTCTCAGACCTCCTCACTCTCTCAGACCTCCTCGCTCCCTCAGACCTCCTCACTCCCTCAGACCTCCTCACTCTCTCAGACCTCCTCGCTCCCTCAGACCTCCTCACTCCCTCAGACCTCCTCACTCTCTCAGACCTCCTCACTCTCTCAGACCTCCTCACTCCCACAGACCTCCTCACTCCCTCAGACCTCCTCACTCCCTCAGACCTCCTCACTCCCTCAGACCTCCTCACTCTCTCAGACCTCCTCACTCCCTCAGACCTCCTCACTCTCTCAGACCTCCTCACTCTCTCAGACCTCCTCACTCCCTCAGACCTCCTCACTCCCTCAGACCTCCTCACTCTCTCAGACCTCCTCACTCTCTCAGACCTCCTCACTCCCACAGACCTCCTCACTCTCTCAGACCTCCTCACTCCCTCAGACCTCCTCACTCCCTCAGACCTCCTCACTCTCTCAGACCTCCTCACTCTCTCAGACCTCCTCACTCCCTCAGACCTCCTCACTCTCTCAGACCTCCTCACTCCCTCAGACCTCCTCACTCTCTCAGACCTCCTCACTCTCTCAGACCTCCTCACTCTCTCAGACCTCCTCACTCTCTCAGACCTCCTCACTCTCTCAGACCTCCTCACTCTCTCAGACCTCCTCACTCCCTCAGACCTCCTCACTCTCTCAGACCTCCTCACTCTCTCAGA